TCCCTAGTGGTGGTTACAGTAATCACCTTCGGGCTGGGTTTATCACATGCCTATTTGTGGACTCAGGGGTTGCGAAGTAGAAGCCTTTCTGACAGCAGTAGTCAGTGTGACCACAGCACATAGTACGTAGCGTACGTAGTCACTGCAGAACTAGATGCTTGGTTGACTGAATGGATTTTGACAGTTACTTAAGGGATCCTTTTCCTACATAAACCCTGGAGGTAACTTTGTGTCTGGTAATATTGCATCCCGAAATACGTCTGTTTTATGTACTTTAGATTTATGTTTTTAAATTACACAATACTGAAGGCAGAATGTTTTAAGTAGTGGAACTCCGTTCGTTAAACTCCTTTCAAGGAAAAGTCAGAATGAACCCAGCCTTGATCTCTGACATTTTTTTCTTACAGTCATTCCCCGTTCCATTCCCCAGGTATGACGCTCGCAAATTGAAGCACGAGATAAGAGAATGAGTTCCTGAAGGTGCAAGTGGTAGATGCAAGCAATGCACTAGATATAAGCAGTCTGAGCTCCTGCTTAAATTTGGTGACGCTTGGACACTAACTTGATGAATGTTTTGCAAATATATTTAGGGGAATGTGTGGCTATAGCTGCGACTGCACAGTTACAAACAATACAGAGAAATTATTGAAGTAGAAATATCTTTACAAAACTTCTAATTTCCAGTGAAAAATATGGGATTTTTTTTCAGGCTGCCAGGGTCTTGCAGGTTTTGGTTTTTCCTGTGATGTTCACTGCGGAGACCAGAATCCGGTGACTGAAGAGGCGGTTAAGTGCAAGTGTTCCCAGGACCCTCCAAGTCTGTCATTTGCAAAGCTCCTCGTGAGTTCAGTAGTCAATATCGGCGTAACAGGGCATAAAATGACAAGTTGACTCCAGGGACTGGCTTCAGCCTCTCTTGTCAGAGGCCCAGGAGATGAGTGAGGATGTGTCCCGTCCTGGGCTGTCGCGTGCGTTTCATCGGCTGATCTGCAGAGAGGTGCTTTCTCTTCAGGCCACAGGGGATGGCTGATTGTGGGGGTGAGACATAGGGGAAAGCCATTTTCTCCCCCAGAGGCTGGACTCCAGAGAGCACTGGGATCAAGGGAGTTTACCATGAGGAAGGATGTCAGCTGTTTTGCTTTTGAGGATAAAGCAGCTGTTGCAGCACAGATGGTGTTTGCAGCTCCTTACTGAGGGGTGTCCTGGTGCAACTGCAGTGACAGAGCCGCAGGACGGAATGCACTAAGGAGAGCTTGGGAATGTTGGGGAAGGATGAACCTCATCAGTTCTCGCTGTGTTGATGGGGAATATCCTGGGGCAACTTTCTCACCTCTTTTGTGTAGTTTCCTCTGCTAAGCTAGGCTGAAACTTTTGAACCTAAAACTTGTGAAAAAAAAATTTAGTGAGAATTCAGCCAGTTGCCTTTCCAAACCACCACTGTCTCAGGAGGGACAGTATTCTCCTGGTCACCTTTTGCCATTGATGTGCTTAGGGTGGAGAAGCAAACTATTCTTCTCCTTAATCTCATTTTTTACTACATTCTCAGCTGATTTCAGTTTGAGTTTCACTTTGACTGATGAAGGGGAGACCAACATGAAAGAGAGTTTCTTCTGCTGTTGAGTCTAATTCTCTCACTGATTTCAATGCTCCAGTGTAATGTACTGGTTAATTCTTTAAGGCTTTTTACTTTTCTACAGATATCTGAGATTTCCTTGCTAAAAGTGTTAGTCCATTGTTTTTTTTCCTATTAAGAACACCCTGTCGTAGGGTTTTCCACGTGTGCTCTCTTTTGGAATTGCATGATCTTGGATGGATGAGAACTGACACTTGCTGTGACAGGCGGGCAGTGATTGTCTTTTCCCTCTCCATCTTCTGTGTTTGATCAAGTGAATATGTAATAAAGCTTCTCTTCTGCTTGAATGCATCACAATTGCTTATCCAGAGGAAAATGGGAAGAGTGGCATCTTACTGTTTTTTCCCCTTCTCTATGCTAAAAGTTCTTCACTGATGTCTTCTTCTGCCGATGGCGCGTCGGCAGTTTGCATCATTGCCAGTATGTGTCCTGCCTCACTGGAACGGATAAATGTGGGTTGATCTTCACTTTGCCGACTGTGACAGCGTTTTCTTTGGCTTTGTTTTGTCCCTGGTCTCCAGAATCTGAAAAATTCTACTGTTTGTTTGCTTTTTTTTTCCTTTTTTTTCTTTTTTATTCTGTCTACTAAGGCAGGCAAATTCTTTGTCCTCAGCTTATTTGCTTTGGAGTATTTAATTCTGTTTGTTGCTATAAATACGTGGAAAGAAACTGACCTGTCCCCAAGGAAAGTATAGTTTAAACTGTAATAAAACATTTAACTTAGATAAGGAGTTAAAAAAAGCAAGTATGAAGTCATGTTCCAGATCAGGTACTGAGGCACATGAAGAATGATGTGCTCAAATTTATTGAGTAAGATTGACTAATTTCAGAATTAATTTTAATTATTTCTCCTTTGTTTTTAAACGTTCAGAGCTGTGATTAAGGAACAGTTGAATGCACTGGAGCAAGCTCATTACCTAATGTCTAATACTGATTCTGTGAACTGTGTAATGGTTGTTGCTGGAGGAACATGGAGGAGAGTGTTGCTAGCTAATTTCATTTTTTGCTGTTGCGTTACATTGGTTTTGGAGGGACTGTTCTACAGCTGCTGCAGTATTTTGCTTTTTATTGCAGGGAGTTTATGGAACAGCACTGTGAATTCTCTCCAGTCTGTATTTACATGCGAGATGAGGTAAGTCAGCAAAGGCTTCTTAACTGTCTCTCCTTCTGTCCCTAAAAAATAAGAAAAACTCAACTCTGCTTTCCAACCTGGAAAATGTTTCTTTTGAACTTTCTTGAGAGGGGAAGTAGAAAAATGTTGGTCTTTTCAAAGCATGATGTGTCTGTATGGAAAAAAGCTCTCTTGGAACGTAACCCTGGCCCGTTTAGACCTCTGAGCCCATAAAATGAGCTCAGTGACCTGTTTGTATTTTTCTTTCCAGCTTCTTTTAAAGCTCGAGTCAAAACAGTGGTTTCATTTTAATAAATATTTGCTTTTCTCTGTGTTTTGATCTTTTGCTATTAATGTTTTGTTTAACATTTTGTATGTGCGTATTACAGAATTTGCTCTCCCTAGCTGTCCCCTTCACTTCCCACTGACCTCTGTGGACAGATGGGTTTTTTTCTGGAACAGGTCGTTATGAGCAGATGGGGAGTGTATGTAATGAAATCGGCTGTCTTTCAGCTCTGAGATGTTGCCTGTGATTTAACTTCTAACATAAAAATAAAGCTTTGCTGAGGTTGGATCTGATTTGGATGTATGTATGGAATGGAAATGTATGCAGGTCATCTTCCCTTGGCATTGTTTGATAAGCCGTGACTTTGGTAAAGCAGGACAGGTGAATACAGATGGATTCAGGTCTCATTTCCAACTGCAGAAAGTGTGTTTTGAGCTGTTTCTGGTGCTGCGTGGTGTTTGTTTTGGTACAGACTTATTTCTAGAAAGAGCACTTTAAATGCTCTCCCAGGGAGGCAGTTGCCGTAATTACTTTTCTTTGTTTTTGTTGCAGATATCAGGAAAAGATGCCCTGGAGAAGACAACGCTGAAGTCACTTGGCCTGACTGGAGGCAGTGCCATCGTCAGGTTGGGCAGAGCAGAGTTTGGACTCTTTATTTTTCCTTTCCACTCTGGTGGTGAATTTGTTTTGTTTCAAATACCAGAAAAAAAACCAAAAAAGCACAAAAACAGTTCAAAGAGACA